CTGCAAAGATACTAAGTAAATCTTACGAAGATTTTACTAACACAAAACATTTGTTGATGCATTCGATGTACGTTGGCCAATGTTCAACAGAGGTCCATCAGGGTGATGAGTAAGTAACGTCCGCTCAGTGACTGACGATATCCTCTCTGGATCATTAGCGAGCATAGGTGCCAACATGGTAAGTAAGTTTTGCATTATATTTCCTGGATTAGTCAAATCTTGCATGACATGTTGATACGATTGAAACATGCGTGGATTAACACCAATATATTGACCGGTAAATTGAGGATCATTCATAACTTCATTGATCGCTTTCAGATAAAATATAACTGCCATCAGACTATTGACAAACTCACTTGGACTACATTTATTGGAGGATTCTCCCCACAAAGGCTTATTGGTACAACGATTTGATTCTTCCTCCAAAAAAATACGCCGAAATTCAAGCAAATTCTGAAAATTATCACCGTCAATGAAGCGTAACACGTTTAATATGTGTAAACATTCGTGAATATCTTCATTCGTAATAGATATCTGAGGTACTTCATTGTCCGGCCAATTTTTTTGTAGCAAATGATAATCGTTAAGAGCATTGAGAAGATCTCTAACTTTCAGTTGAGACAAAAAGTTCAAATTGTTCTGATAAAATTTACAAATGATCTGTTGTTGCTGATCTAAAATGTTCATTGTAATAGGTTCATCGAGACGAACATCAGTCATCAGTATCTGGCGAGCACGATCGATTGATCCATCCTCCAGATAAGGTTTGAAAATATTTGTATTATGGATAAAATAATGGGGACATTTCTTATTCTTCAATAACTCGCACGCATATTCGAGCCATTTTTCTGCAATTTCTTTAACATCGAGACAGTCTTTTACATTAATATCTTCACACATCCAGAGAACACTCGTTTTAATAAAGTACGATGGTAATCTACATTTTTCTTTCAAATATCGATAGTAAATTGATCTTGCCACACCATTCAAGATTTTTTCTTTTTCTGTACGATGTCTGGCTAGCAGACGTTCAATAAATGAAAATGAATATCGAAATTCGATTTCCTTATCGACTTCTGGAGTTTCTGTTGACCATTTCTGTATGACATGCATTGAAGTCTTATCGCTTTCAATTAGGTCGAATAGATCTGAACGCTTTTTCTGAATTCGTTCAAGAAAAGGTTTTACATCTTCCGGCCAGAATTTTAATTGAAAACATGGTACGAAATCGCTTTCTTTTGGAATACAATTTTGATCGTATTCGATTCCATTTTTACAATATTGAGCATTTCCTAAATGTTTATATTCTTGATAAAAATCCAACAAGTCATGCATTCGGCTTCTATTTATTCGAGATAAACGATAACCGTAAGCAGGTCCCGTTAACGATATAGTATCTCGAAAGTAATCGACATTTAAATTCCATGCAGACATTGTATTAGACGTGTATTTGTTGGTGAATAAAGGAACGGCGCACTGACTAAAAGTT